ACTTGAAAAGCAACAGCAAATGAAACCCATACCAAGCAGACAAGAAGAAATAAGAAAAATCAGAGCAGAAATCACTGAAACAGAGACAAAGAAAACAATACAAAGAATCAGTGAGTTCAAGAGCTGGTTCTTTGAAAAGACAAACAGATTGACAGATTGCTAGCCCTGTTAACCAAAAAAAAGCACATCTCCAAATCAACAAAACCATAGATGAATGGGGAAACATCACAACAGACACCAAAAAGATCCAGACCATTATGAGGGAATACTTTAAAAACCTATTCATGGGGATTGGAGAGATAGCACAGCAGTTAAGAACACTGACTGTTCTTGCAGAAGACCTGGGTTTGAATCCCAGCACCCACATGGCAGCTAACAATTGCCCTTAACTCCAGTTCCATGGGATCCAACAGTCTCTTCTGTCCTCCGCGGGCATTGCTCAACATGCATACTTACATACATGCAGGCAATACATGCATACACATAAAATAAAAGTAATAAAGATATTTATAGAAATTTTTAAAAAAATCTATACACTACTAAATTTGAAAACCTAAAAGAAATGGACAGATATCTAAAAGCATGGGAACCACCAAAACTAAAGCAAGAAGAGATCAACAGTTGAAACAGACCCATAACACATAAGGAAATTGAAACAATTTTACAAAATCTCTCAACTAAAAAAAGTGCAGGATCAGATGGATTTACAGAAGAATTCTCAGACGTTTAAAGAAGGAGTGCTTAAATTATTCAAAAAGATAAAAACAGAGGGAGAACTCCCAAACTCCTTCTATGAAGTCAGTATCACTCTAATACCCAAACTAGGTAAAGATATAACAAAAAAGAAAACTATAGACTCATATCTTTAATGAACATAGATGCAAAGACACTCAACAAAATACTTCAAACTGCATACAGACACACATCAAAAAGATCATTCACCTTGATCAAGTAGGCTTTATTCCAGAGATGCAGGGATGGTTCAATATATATGTCAATAAATGTCATCAATCATATAAATGGATTCAAAGGCAAGAACCTCATGGTCATCTCAATAAATGCAGAGAAGGCCTTTGACAAAATTCAACATGCATTTGTGTTCAAAGTCATAGAGGGAATTGGATGGAGGGAACATACCGCAACAGAATTAAAGCCAAATATAACAAACCAACATCATTCTAAATAGAGAAAAACTGGAAGCATTCCCATTGAAATCAGGAACCAGAGAAGGCTTTCCACTATCTGCACTTCTCTTTAACATAGTGCTTGAAACTCTTGCAAGAGCAATAAGACAAGAGAAGGAAATTAAAGAAGTAATAATTGGAAAAGAAGAGATCAAATTATCCCTTTTTGCATATGATATGATATTAGATCTAAGAGATGCCAAAAATTCCACCAGAAAACTCTTAGAAATTATTAACATGTTCAGTAAAGTGACAGGTTACAAATTTAATCTACAAAAGTCTATACCTTTTCTATATACCAATAACAAGTAATCAGAGAAAGAGCACATGGAAACACTCCCCTTCACAATAGCTGCAAAAAAGTAAAATAAAATATCTCTGAATAAACCTGACCACAGACATTAAAGACCTCTACATTGAAACTTTTAAATATTTAAAGAAAGAGATTGAGGAAGACATCAGAAGTTGGAAGGACCCTCCCATGCTCATGGATTGGAAGAATTAATATTGTGAAAATGACCATCCTACCAAAAGCTGTTTATAGATTCGATGCAATACCAATCAAAATCCCAATGACATTCTTCACAGAATTGGAATAAACCATCCTAAGATTCATATGGAAGCACAACAGACCTTGGGTAGCCAAAGCAATTGGAGCACTAAGACCAGTGCTGAGGGGGTTAGTGTACCAGATTTTAAACTCTATTATAGAGCTACAGTCATAAAAACAACATAGTACTGGCACAAAAATAGACCTGTAGATCAATGGAACAAAATTGAAGACCCAAATATGAGTACATGCAATTTCAGCCACATGATATTTGACAAAGGGCCAAGAACATTCACTGGAGGAAAGACTGCATGCTCATCAAATGGTGCTGACAAACTGGATGCCCACCTGTAGAAGAGTGAAATTAAACTGGTAACTTTCACCTTGCATAAAAGTCAACTCCAAATGGATGAAAGACCTCAATGTGAAGCCTGAATCTCTGAAACTGTTAGAAGAAAACATTGGCAAAAACCTACAAGAGATAAGTGTTGAAAAGGATTTTCTAAACCAGACATCAATTACTCAGGAAATAAGGTCAAGAATCAAAAAATGGGACCTCATTAAACTATAAAGCTTCTGTACATCAAAAGAAGCAACCAAGAAATTGAAAACTCACAGCATGGAAGAAAATCTTCACCAGCAACATGTCTGACAAAGATTTAACATCCAGAATATATAAAGAACTCTGTAAACAAAGAATCAAGAAAGAAGTAACCCAATTAAAAGATTGGTTAAGGAGTTGAAAAGAGTTCTCAAAAGAAGAAATAAAAATGGCTAAGAAGCATCTTAAAATGTGTTCAACAGCATTAGAAATTAGGGAAATGCAAATTAAAACTACTTTAAGATTCCATCTTACCCCAGTCAGACTGGCAAAGATCAAAAGAAAAAATGATACCAAATGTTGGAAAGTATATGTGGGAAAGGGAATGCTCATCCACTGCTGGTGGGTTTGCAAGGTTTTTCAACCCTTTTGGAAAGCAGTATAGAGAACCCTTAAAAAACTACAAATGAACCTACCATTTGACCCAGTTATACCACTCCTTGGCATATACCCATAGAACTCATCCTATTTCAGAGACACTTGTACAACTATGTTTGTTGCTGCTCTTTTCACAATAACTAAGAGATGGAAGCAACCTAAGTGTCCCTCAACTGACAAGTGGATAATGAAAATGTGGTTCATTTATACGATAGCGTCTGTGCTGCAAGTTCCTGTCCAGAGTTCTTGCCTGGGCTACCCTTGATGATGGACTGTGCTTGTAAGCCAAATAAACCCTTTCCTTTTTTTTTCTTTTTTCTTTTTTTTTTTTTTTTTTTTTTGTGTGTGTGTGTGTTTTTGAGACAGGGTCTCCCTGTAACCCCAGCTGGCCTAGAACTGAGTATGTACACCAAGCTGGCCTTCAACTCACAGAGATCCATCTGCCTCTGTTCCCAAGTGCTGGGATCAAAGGTACGCACCACCATGCCCAACTAAACCCCTTCCTTTCCAAGTTAGTTCTGGTCAGTGTTTTTATCACACCAACTGTAAGCAAACTAAGTCACTACGTGTGGTCACCGAATGCAAATGGTAAATATAGGAAAAGGGAGTGTGTTCTGGGGCTCATACCTGTTCCCCTGTCTTTGAGTACACAGGTTGAAATGTATAGGGTTGAAAGAGAAAGCCAATTTAAATATTTTTGTTTATTTTTATTTTATGTGTATGAGTGTTATGCCTGCATGTAGGTAAGTGCACCCGTGTCGTGCAATGCCCACGGAGGACAGAAGAGCCTGTCGGATCCCCTGGAACTAGAGTTATGGACAGTTGTTAGCTGCCATGTGGGTGCTGGGATTCAAACCCAGGTCTTCTGCAAGAACAGTCAGTGCTCTTAACTACTGAGCCATCTCTCCAGCCCTGAGAAAGCTAATTTAGATCAATTAACATTAACCCTAAAATAAACCCCAAGTACTGGCCTCCTCTTATGGCCTTGCCTTCTTATTAAAGGTATTATTATTATTATTTTTTGTTTCTTTTTGAATCAGTGTCTCATGCTGGGCCTCAAACTTACTGTGAAGCTAAGGATGTCCTTGAACTCCTGATCCTCCTGCCTGCACCTCCCCAGTGCTGGGATTACAGGTGTGCACCACCTCTCCCAGCTCCATTAACAGATTTATCAATTTTCCTCTGAACCTACTCTTCAACTTAGACAAAGCATGACAAATACTTTTTCTGCAAATCTTTCAAATTAGGGAGTCATGCTGAGGTTAAGTCCTTATCAGTTGGCTTGTCTTTGACACTAACTTCTGAGTGGTTAAAGAAGATAACAAGATTCTGTGGTTTGTGACATTCTTCAGTGTAAGGTAGATTTCTATTTTTTTTAAACAGGGACAGAACCAACCCAAAGGGGAAAGACCACAAAGAATGGGGATTATTGAATAGACCTGCAGCAGGTGATCTGACCTCTACCTGGACACGCCCTCATATGAAAACCCTGGCATTCTGAGATGAGGAGGGCTCCATCCACCTTCTGGGCACTGGAAGTCTTCTGATTATAGCAATATCAGAAGCATAGAAAATACCCTTAGCTCTCATGGAAGTCAATTGGCATCCATTCCCTTGACGCATTTATTCACCAGGCATTTATCTTCAACAAGCACCAGAAAGTTCAGCCTCTTGTAATTATGGTGACATGAATGGATGGTCTGGTGGTGTTCACACAAATATTCCAGCATTCTGAACACAGAAGCCTTTCTGAGAACAAGTACTGGGGGTCTTATGAGATGGGAGGGAAATGTAGCTTTTCAGAGGAGGCTGAGTCCTGATTCCCTGTCACCCATCCTCTATGGAAGAACTCATATATGAGGTGCCCACACAGACAAAGCTGTACACATCATATAAATGTGCATTCAAAACTGCACAGTTTTAGAAAAGCAAATAAACACTCTGTAAAAATAACATGTATTTATACAACTAGCCTACGACAGTGGAATTCCAGGTAAATAAAAACTGCTCCAGGACTGTATATTGAGTGACCAGCATACGCATGGGGTAGTTCAGATAATGAATTAGGTTAAAGGCAGGGTATCAGCATTTTCTGCTTGGTACTAAAGTACATTTTTAATTTGCTCTTTGTTGCAGAACTAGGTTTATGGAAACTCTTTGGGGAGACAGGGTTTTCTTTTTTTTTCAGATAACCTAATGCAAAGACTTTGAATGCACTAGTCACTTTAAGGACTAGGCATCTGATTGTCCTCAACCGTGTCCTCAGTGGAGGCTCAGGCCATGTCCCTCAGATGTGACAGATGGTCAGAGGGTCTGTGTTTGTCCCTTCATTTGGGAGACAAGGGGAAAAAATAGGTCTGAGAGCTTCATGGAAGGGGGTTGAAGGGAAGCTGTAGATGAGAGACTCATCTATCACATTGTAGAATGCTATATGTCCAAACTCGTAGTCTAAGAACACACCAACTTTGTGCTCAGGTTCTCGGACATGCTGACCTTTCAAGGGCGATGAGACCCAGAGACTGTAATCATCTCCAATCTTTAAACCTATAAGTGAGAAGAGGTCCCCAGGGGGCTTTGGAAGATTCCTCTTTCTGTTCACAGAGGCCTTGCAGATGCCCACTTCCCACTCGGTCTTGTTACCCACTTCCACCTCCCAATAGTGTCGCCCACATGTAAAGAGCTGAGCTCCCAAGATGGTTGCAGACTGGTCAAATCTTTCTGGGTTGTCAGGTAATGGTTGCCTGGTTCCTCCATATCTCACATTTTTCAGGTCATCGGACAAGACTAAGTAGGCATTGGCTGTGGCTGGATCCAGAGTTATTTCTGCTGCAAGAGGAGAAAAAGAGTGAATCCTCTGAAATCCTTGGAGCCCTCCCATATGTGTGGATTATAAGATAAATTCAAAGTATGTAGTCTTATTCTTGTTTGGTTTTGAAACAGGGTCTTACTATGTAGCCCAGGCTAGACCTTGAATTTGGCAGTCTTCCCACCTTAGCCTCTTCAGCACTGGGATTATAGGCACGCTTATGAAGCCCAGCTAGTCCTATCCTTTCAATGTAATTTAGGAGCAAGCCAGGCTTGGAATCCCAGCACTCAGAAGACCCACTCAGGAGCGTTGTGAGTTCAAAATCTGCCTGGGCTACATGATGAGTGGAAGAGCATCATGGGCCATATAACAAGACCCAGTCTCAAAACTGTAAGTAGGCACAGGGCTGTGTGTCTATATCCCTAGCACAAGAATCTCTGCAAGTTTGAGGGCAACCTACACCATGTAATGAGTTCAATGCCAGCCTGGGTTACAGTGCGAGACCCTTTTTCCAAACAAAGTTTCTTTTAAATGCAGTTTTGGTGAATTTAATGAGGGCTGAGTTTCTTTGGAAAATCTTCTCTGTCTGGCTTGGCTTCTTATGTCTGTAATCCCAATGCTTAAGAGGACTGAAGGGCTGGAGATGGCTCAGCGGTTAAGGGCACTGACTGCTCTTGCAGAAGACCCAGATTCAATTCCCAACACCCACATGGCAGCTATGAACTGTCCTTAACTCCAGTTCCAGGGAAATCCAAAGCCCTCTTCTGGCCTCCACAGCATTGCATGACATGGGTGCACTCACATACATGCAGGCAACGCACTCATACATATAAAATAAAAATAATAAAATAAAATATTTTTTTAAAAAGAAGACTGAAGCAGGAGGATTGCCATGAATTTTAGGATAGCCTGGGCTACATGGTGAGACCCTGTCTTACAAAACAAAATCAGAACAGAACATAATTTCTGAATTCATTTTTTACTGTCCCATGGAAGAGACAGATACTCTGTAAAAAGCAGCAGAAGAGTCATATGGAAAGAGATTTTGCCACCTGAGAGGGGACAGGAAGCTGTGAGTGTAATGAAAGGTGTTTTCTAGACAAGACAGTTTTAGAATTCAGGGTTATTATCCTCACAAGGATGCCCTTTACTTTTAGCCATGGTCACATCTCATTCTACTGTTTGGTAAAAGAGAAACATAGACAACCAGCATTTGCCTCACTCCTAATGTGCAAAGCATTCTCTGTGCATTGGCACATTTAATCATTGCATCTATTTTTAATTTTTCCTCATTGTATTAGTAGAACTATCTGGTGTGGTAGTATACACCTTTAATCCCAGCACTTGGTGGGGCAGATCAAGAACATCAGGAGTTCAAAGTCATCTTTGGCAACTGAATGAGTTGAAGATCAGGCTGGGCTACATGAGACCTTGTCTCAATTATTTTTTAAACACGTAATTAATTAAAAACGATGTAATTCATTTTTTAAAATTGAATCGGAGATATAGCTCAGTGGTAGCGCTCTTTCCTAACATCCACAGGCCCTGGGTTCAGTCTCAATGCTGTGATACTCATAGTAATAACAAATTAACTTTTAAACTGAAGCCTGGCAAAGAAGTACATGTCTGCAATCCCAGCACTTAGGAAGTTGGGGCAGGAAGCTTTCCATGAGTTTGAAGCCAGCCTGGGCTACGTAGCAAGACCCCCATCTCAAAAAACATATTTATTTTTTAAAGAAGGGTTGGAAGTGTAGCTCAGTTGGTCGAGTGCCTGCCTAACACACACTAAGTCCTGGATTCAGTCCCCAACACTGCATAAAACTGAATGTGGTAATCGCAGCACTTTGGAAGTGGAGGCAAGAAGAGAAGTTAAGGTCATCTTCAGCTACCCAGTGAGTTCTAGACCAGGCTGGGATGCATGAAATTCTGACTCAAAACTGAGTAAATAAAATGATAAAAATTAAATTTAAAAGAAAACTGAGATTCACAGAGGTTAGGGAACTTCACTAAGATTGCAAAGTCATTGTGTGCTAGAATGACAATTCTTAATTCCACTCTGCTGTAGTCAAATACAGCTTCCTTTGAGTTAGCACAACCCCAGTGACACATGATGATCCCCTGGGAGGCTTGAATTCCAACCACCTGTGAGGAGGTCATATAAGGGGACCCAACCTTCGCTGACTCCAGATAAAACCAAAGACCCCTACAGAGTCAGACAAGCACAGGAGATAGTTCAACTTGGGCTCCCCCTTTGGTTTTGGGTCTTCTAATAGTATTCTTAGCAGCGTAGTTCCTTCACAGGCATGTACTCTGTACACACACCTTTCACCAAATAATGCACCTAGCAGCCTCAGAATCCCTCCAGGACCCCTCCACCTACATCAGACTACACATGGAATCTTTGAACATGTACAAGTTTCTCTGCCCCAGGTAACAATCCAATTTAGACAGTTTCTATTCAAGTGTATTCCCAAAATAGTCAGGTATGAAGAACAGAAGGGCTGATCCAGCCTGAATTATTTTGGGGTATATGAGGAAATGAAACTGTGCCCTCTAGTAACCTTTTAGGAAGAATCCCCTATTTACCATCTTATGCCCAAGCATAATTGGATGTGCAAATGATTGAACTGAGATGCGTTATAGGAAAACACATGTGCAGTAGGAAAATGAATATATGAGTAAACAAAACTAGAGAACCACCCTAACTATACCCCTTAGTATATTAACCAGCCCCTCCTTTTCTTGAATCCTATAAAGAGACACTACAGGCTGTAGCCTAGAGAGATGCTAAGAAAGTTCAGCGTAAATCAGCCCCAGCTCACACATGTACTCACATACCTATCCACACCATACCCTCAACACAACACACAGAGACACAGGTACGCACAAAGATTTTTTTCAATTTGTTTAACTCATTTTTTATCCTAACAGGAACAGAGATGAAAAAGCAGGAGCTCTGATGAGAGGTGTTGATTGGTGTGTGGTCCTTATAGTGTGTAGACACTGCAAAACAGTGACAAACAAAGGACCAGGACTTCTTAGGCTAGACAGAGTGTCAAGCACAGCTCTCTGTCTCTCAACTCAAGTGCAAACATAGTATGCAACTTGGTCCTTAGTGTTGGCTCAGGGTACCATAACTAAGAGCTTTGTGTCAGGAACAGAATATTTTATGCCCAAGGTCTCAGTTATGCTCCTAACATATGCTGAAGTCCGCAGTGGAAATCCCTGGAGGTGTACCAAAGAGGCTGACTTACTGCTGAATTTTCTTAGCATCTCCCTCATTCCAGTGACGCGGCACAGGCTCAGTTCTGTGATGGTGGCCTCTGGACACTGAAGCAGGAGTGACTCACACCTTCCAAAAGAAAAGAGATCCTCATTCTCTCCTTAACACATACCATGTGAACTGCTCTAACTTGAGTATCCACATCACCTCTCTTGAAAACATGCACATACTCATGCCTACACCATCATCTATTCCATCAGCACTGCATCCAGATTGCTACACAATGGGACACAGAATGGAAACCTACCGGTTCATGGCTCCTCTGACTTCCTAAGGTTAGAAAGAAAAGAAGTTTAGCATTGGATCACTAGCAAAGAACGAAACAATTTGAATCCTTTGCTAAGTTCATAAAATTTGTTTCCTAGCACACAAATCTGACAAGAAAGAAAATCACTAATTCCTTTTAGGAATTGTTTTGGTAAACATGAGACGTTTCGCACATTAACTAGAGAATACTTTGCTGTATTTCTTTTATTCACATCCATGCTTTTAAGTAAACATATTTTTTTAAATTGGGCATGGTGGCATGTGCCTTTTGTCCCAGCATTTGGGAGGGAGAAGAAACTGAACTTAGGCCCTCTGGAAGAGGAGCAAGCACACTTAAGCACTGAGTGGTTTTTCCACCCCGTTTTTTCTTTTTGGTAATCTAATGAGCTTAATTAGGACTGCTTATGGGAACACAGGTTATGAGTTATTTCAAGATCATAGACAATTTACCAGTGCTACACCACTCAAGAAAATCTTTCTTCCCCCTCCCCTAGCAACCATCAACGGCTTATAGGTGGACTAAGGCCTTATGAACCCTCTCCCTCTGTCCTTTATCTCATATACTCACTTTGTTAAGAAAACCTAATGTTCAAAAGAAGCCAAATATTACTCATGGACCAGAAAACCAGAGATCCAGAGATGAGCAAAAGAAAATGATCCAGTGAGAGCTGAGACCAAGCCTATGTTATGTGGGAGTGGGTCATTTGGAAGGCATTGAATTAAATAGTGTCCTTTGGCATCAGCTCAGGAATCAGACCACAAGCTGGAGTTAGCTCTCACAACTTATGTCTGAGAGGATCCTGAAGAGGGCAGTAGCCTAGGGAAGCAGTAGCCAAAGAGTGATGACAGTGGGCTTGGCACATAGAATACCGGGGCACTGCCACCTGTTAGCTGCAGGGCTAGAAATCGCCTTATGACTGTAAGTCTGAATTATTAAATAACTGCTACCCTAGGTCTATGTTGTAGATGGTTGTTGGGTAAATGTGACCTCCAAGGAAAAGATGGGGGTGGGTCTAGAGACCCAGAGAGAAGCAGAGCACAGTGGGAAAATGGGTGGAGCCACTGCCATATTGAGCAAAGGTAAATGGCAAGCGAGAGAGACTGGGGGTGGGAGACAGATGACATATGCATTTCAAATATGGCAAAGGAAAAGCCTATAAGAATCTGTGTTTTTGTAAGTTACCCTCTCCCAAATGTCATATAACTATACAAAATTAAAATAGAATGTCTTATGTCAGTTTGTTTACCCATGTCAGGATCAGGAGACCCTAGAGTTCTCAGAGGGTGTGAGCAGGTCCCCCAGGGAAGGAAAAGGGAAAAATTCAGGGAAACAATTGGCACAGTCCAGGAGGGTGATGCTGGAAATGACAAACCACAGAAGTTCAGGAAAAGCAAGGGGGTTAGTGATGGTCACATGGGTTATACAACAGATCACAGAATATGTGACTAGAATGATGTGGGCCATGCAGACATGGATGGACTCAAACAGGAAAATCCCTTGGCCACAGCCAGCCTATAAATGTGGGAAAATAGCTCAGTTGCTTGTATGTGAAGATTCCTTTAAGGTCATACAGAGCCTAGAAAAAAAAATTTGCAAGCCTTGGATGCAAGAGGGGAACCAGAGAGGGGTCATGGCCACTTTGCATAATAAAAGATTTGTCTGAGACAAAGACTGACTCAGTCAAGGCTGAAAAGGCAAAGGAGTTACTGAAAAATTCAGTCTCAGTCTCAGAGCTTGAGAGAGAGGAAAAACAGGAGATTTTAACTTGCATAAGGTTAGGAGACCAAGAGTCAAAGGACCCGAGAAAAAATATAGATAGTAATGAGAAAAGAAACAACCTAAAAATAACAGTAGCTAAAGCTGTCCCTCAGATTCAACAACCTTTGATGCAAAAAGGAAAAAGAGTTAACAGTACTGTAGCTAGGAGAAAATACTCCACACTGGAGCTGTTGAAACTAAGGAAAATTTTCAAACAATTGATCAAAGAGCCATTCATTGTGTGGGACATGGGAGAAAATAATGTCAGTCTAAGTCCTTTAGAAGCATCACAGCTGAGTTATATAACCACCCACAGTCCTTGAGACATAGGCTGTTCAACCTAGGCCAATACAGGAGAGATCAGTCCCTAATTAGGGATTAAAGATACATGGTCATCACCAATGGAGATGCCCATGATTAGCAGGGGATGGAGGATTATAAAAGAGGGACAGGTGTTACTGAGAGAACTAGGTATGAGAAAAGCAATATATAGTGTCCAGTTTGCTGGGATAGATAGGGCTGTGTTCACCAGAGATATAAAGGAAAGCTTAATTCAACTGGGACCTCAAGAATGGTATACAGCGTTAATGGTTTTGCTAAGTCCTTTAATGGGACAGGATCTCTATAAAGTGAGGGAGGCTTTGGCAAATCTAAGTAACTCAAACAAGAGTGAAGAGATATAAAAAAGACCAGACAGAAGAAATGGTCCATTTGGGTTACTCGAAGACAAATGTGGCAAGATTTATGTCAAGCCCAAATTCCCAAAGGAAAAAATTGATAGAAAACCAAATTCAATATTAAGGAGTTTCTGGAAGGCTTTAAAACCTGAAGAACAGTTTACAAAAGGCATTCGGAGGATAAAAAAAGCTGTCCCACAGGTGGTTAAGGATCCTCAAAGATTAAATAAGGTGCATTTTTCTTTTGAGAGAGGCTATGCTAGGGGTGGAGGCAGTTTTTCCCACCAGGGCCTCCCCAGCAACCATGTATGGTCAATGGAGAGGCAACAGATATGGCTACAGCCAAGAGGCAGATTCAGGGCCTGCCTGACTCAGGGAACCAACAGGTGCAGTAAGGACAAGAAAGACAGTCTGCCTTCTTAGCCCGGTGCAGGGTCAGGCAATTTGAGCGAGCACCTGCAAATGTATCAAGGATAAGAAAATACAAATAGACTCCATGTAAAATACCCCAAATGCAGAATGACTCCAAAGGGATAACTAAAGATAGTAAAGAATTAACCAAATTAATGCCTCTTACCCATACTATGGTACCTAACAAAGATCTATGGATAAAATAGTTAACACAAATGGATAAAACCTTTCCATGCTGTGTTAGACCTTGTACATGACTGAATTAATATATGATGTTAACTTCTGAGTGTTTTAAAGATGTGAAACCCATTTGAAAGATATCAAATACACCTGAAGAAACAAAGGCCAGCTATAGTTATAAGATTCTTGGGAGTTTTATGGTTGGGTAAAATAAGAACAGAGGCTTCCAAAACTGTACAACTGTTAAGAAAAACTACAGTACCAGGGTTGGTTTGCCCACCTATGAGCAGAGAGATCCTAGAGGTCCTCAAATTAACCAAGGCTATTGCCACTAATGTCAGTGGTACACTAGAAAGGTCGGTAAGGCCATGTTGCTGAAGACACTGCATGATGTGAGCATGGGAGAAGAAGAGACAGAGCCAAGACTAAGCTAAAAACTCCATGCCACTGGATGGATGGATTTCAAAGTGCCAGAAGGTGCTGGCAGGTGATTGGGGAAAATGGATCCCTTATGATTCTGCTCAACAATGGGCCCCTTGTGCTGCATGCTATGGACATGCCTGCTAGTAAAATAATGGCTCGACTAACATATGTACAACTGACAAATTTCTAATTGGATAAGGCCTGCTCCTAGAGATGGAACACACATGAGGTGCTGTAGACCAGGCCAACACCCTGTGTCAGGGAAGGCTATAGGTCCCAGCAGGGAAGCTGTTGCAAGTATACTGTTTAATGAATATGGTACACCTACTGGGATATCTTCTAGGCATTTGTATTTACATCACATTTGTTTAAATGTGTCTACTTCCTTACATTTGTCTTTATAGTAGGGGAAACACCACTGAGATAGATCAGTAGCCATGTTGAATGATGGGGAGACCCAAGAGGTCAATATTGTGCCATGATACAGAAAGATAGCCCTGCATTTGTCACCTGCTCCAAGGCTCAGGGAACCCTTGCAGAAGAGATGGCAGAAAGATTGTAAGAGCTAGAGGAAGGGATGGAGTGTTGGGTAAATGCACCCTCCCAATGAAAAGATGGTGGATCTAGAGAAGCAGAGCACACTGGGAAAACGGGGTGGAGTCACTGCCATATTGAGCATGGGCGAACAGTGAATGAGAGAGATTGGAGGTGGGAGACGGATGGTGCATGCATTTCAAATATGACAAAGGAAAAGCCTATAAGAATCCTTGTTTTTGTAAGTCCCCCCTCCCGAATGTCATATAAACTATTCCAAATCCAAATAGAATATCTTATGTCCATTTCTCTATCCGTGTCATGACTGGGAGACCCCAGGTCCCTCAGAGGGTGTGCTTGGGTTCCTCAGGCAAGGAAAAGGGAAAAATTTAGTGAAATAGTAGTGATCAACTACAAGCAATGTGACAATAGAACTTCCCTTCATCAGATCTTTGAGACAATTAAATTTAGCATGCCTAGGAGCTTATTAATACATTTAATGAAATACTTGACAAAGCTGCATTTATATAGGCAGGCACAGAAGAAGCTACACCCGTCCATGGGCTTTTTTGTGAAAAGTATTCCTCTGCCTTTTTCTTGTTTGATGTCTCCTCTTTAACAATGCCAGTTTTTTAAGGAAAGCTGCTTTTACAGCAGAACTTAGTTTTTCAGATGAGTGAGGAAAAATGTGTCTCCTATGGCTTGAAATACTTTGGGCCTCTGTGTCTTCTTTTTTCTGTATATTTTTTCCCAATAGTCTCATGAGTTTCAGCCTCACCTCAAAAGACTCCAAAGTCAGGTTCTGACAGGTGGACTCAATATGTCCAATCATTTTGCTGAGGCGCCTGACTTGCTGGGTCAGCTGGATCTCATTTTCCCTCAGCTTCTTCATGTTTTCTCTTTCTTCCTTCTCAAGCAGCTGCAGCTGCTGCTGTTCTTCTTCCTTCAGGAACTGGTGCATCTTCATGTATTCTGACACAACCACCTGCTTACAAGTCTTCGTCTCCTCCTGCTATCACCCATGCACGGGCACATACACACACGCGCACACGTACAAAATAACATTAGCAACAGAAGCACTTGTGTAGCACATGTCTTAGATTGACAAGCTTGGTGGAGAGTTTGATTTTTTTTTAAGTTTTAAAAATGTATTTATCTGATTTTATGCGTCTTGTTTGCATGTGTGTATATGCACCCATGTGTGAAAACCTGTGGAGACCTGAAGAGGTTGTCAGGTTCCCTGGAACTGGAGTTATGGACAGTTGTTAGCTGCTGTGTGGGTTCTGGGTCCTCTGAAAGAACAGCCAGTGCTCTTAACCACTAACCATTTCTCCAGCCCTGAAAGTTTGATGTTTTGAAGGATGCATATGTATACAAGTCAACAAAATCAAATTTTCTAATCTAAGAGCTGTCATTTCTACAGAGAGAAACCAAAAGGACACTTTAAAAGACTTAATAACCATTACTGATTTAAAATAAAATGAAATTTAAAAGGAGAAAAATGTATAATGTATGTGATTGACAAATACTGATTAAAAAAAAAAACTAGCATTGGGTTACATATTAGAAATACATCCCAAAGAGTTGCACTTAACTAAATCTAAACCAGGCATGGTGTGAAATGCCTGTCATCTCAGCATTCATGAGGCAAAGGCAGGAAGTATCAGAGTTTGGGTCTTCAATCTTCCATCTTGTTTGAGATAGTGTCACTTTCTTATTGCTGTATATGAGCTGCTGTGTACACCAGGCTAGCTCACTTTGGGCTTCTATGGACTGTCATGTCCCTGCCTCTCATCTCCAGGTAGGGAGCACAGGGCATCGCAGAAGCTGGCATTACTGCTCTTGGTTCAGGCTTGTGTGGCGGGTGCTTTTACCAACTGAGCTATATTGTTTATGCCATATTAAACATTCAGTTCTTTGCTTTAACTGTTAGGCAATTCAAGTCCAAATCTGTGCCTAACCTTAAGCATTTGTTTGAGTATAATTCAAACTATTGTTTGGCCATTATTTTCTCTTCCTCTTTATTTCTTTTTAATTTTGCATGCAATTTTCCCTCAAAGTATTTGAGAGACTGATTGTTTGTTGTTTTTTCTTTTGAGGCAGGGTCTCACTATGCAGCCCTGGCTAACCTGGAACAGGCTTTGTAGATAGTCCAGGCTGGCCTTGACCTCACAGAGATTACCTCTTTGCCCGTGCCTCCTGAATACTGACATTTAAAGTCATGTACTGCCTGAGAGACTAGTAAGACTGATTTCTACCCTATTTAGTTTTTTAATTTTGTTGATTATTTTTATTTTATGTGGTTGAGTATACTGTTTGCATGTGTGTAAGTAAGTGCGCCTGTGTCATGCAATGCCATGGAGTTTAGAAGAAGGGGTCAGATCCCCTGTAACTAGAGTTATAGATGGTTGTTAGCTACCATGTGGGTGCTGGGAATCGAACCCAGGTCCTCTGCAAGAGCAGCCAGTGTTCTTAACCTTTGAGCCATCTCTCTAGCCCTTCCACCCTATTTGTAGGTCTGTCACTTGTATTTTAAATAATTATAATCAGATTCATCATAGAGGCTAGCCACGGTGGACAAGGAAGAAAACTAAATAGGCCTGTGGTTGTGAACTTGAGCTACTCTGAGATTCCCAGGTGAGGTGCTTATCAAAGGACTCAAAACAGTCCTTTTCCCCCTGACATTTAACTAATTATCCCTGTAGTGCCTCTTTCGGCATCTTATAGAAGACCTAAATGTTAAGCAGACACTGACCTTACACAGAATCACACGTTTCTTCTCATGGTTCAGTATAGCCTGGGCTTCTTTCTTCTTTTTATGTAAAAGATTTATGATATCCTGGAGTTTCTCCTGCAATAGAAACAAACTCTGTGGCAAATAGAAGAGCAACTAGTGGTAAAAAAGACCAGGAAAACTGGTCACTAGAAGACGACTGGGACACTCAAAGAAAGGGTGGAAGCAGGACCCAAGTTAGAGGTTGTTGTGCTGCTTGGGATGAGCACCCTTGACCATTACCCACAGAGACTACTGCAGGAGTTAAAGGATGGGATCAATCTATTTTCTAATCCATCTTACTTTGTGTTGTTCCTCAGCCTCACTTGAGAAATACACTCTATTCATCCCATGAGTTTGTGTTGAGAAAGCAATTATACTCTGCTCATCATCAGAGAACATCCTACTGGCTGTTGGTGTTCTTCCACAGCTGCTTGGATAGTCCTCGCTCTGTAGCACTTGGGATCTCAGCTGTCTGCCAATGCTAGCCAGCCTCCCCAGTCTCTCATTGGCCTGGAAATGAGGAGCCCCCAAGGTCCTTCAGCATTCAGGACAAGATAAAGGTGTATTATGCCCCTCCCAGCTCTTGAGGAGACACATCAGACAAAAGCTATGCCCACACTCTGTGGTCACTGGGCTGCTGAAATAGTCCAAGCAGATGAAACAGGTAAGTTCTTCTCTGAGATTTTCCATCAAGTCTGCTGTGGACATTTTCTCAAGGATGGACATTGGGACAAGCCTACACGTCTAGTCGGGGATTACAGAAGTCCTCTTCACTATCCTCTTCAAGTGCTGTTGTTATTACAAGAAACTCTTGCTCTCCTCTCGGGCTGATTTCACCAAACGATATGTACTCTCCAGCACAAAGCCGATTGTGACTTAATGTGGAACTCCAGTACACTGACTCATCACCAGCCCCCAAACTTTCATTGAATCTCTTTCTATACATGCCACACACTAAATACTGGGAATATTGGATACTAATAAGGATAAGATTTTTGATTTAGTTATTGTATATAAATAGCATCACAAAACTATTGAAACTATTGGTTTGGTGCTCAAAAGATGGATTACTTGTTGTAAACCAGCCCCCAGAGATTTGAATTACAGAGGCCTCTGATATCTGAATTAGAAGTATGGTCTAAATCCATTGGGAATGTGTACTAGAAGAAGCTAGTTGAGAACTGAAAGAAGAAACTAGAATGTTCTTTTTCTCATTAATCCCTTTTCTCCACTTGACCAAAGCTTAAGCTTTCAACACTGTAATCACTGTATATTTCTTTAATTTCATTCATCTGGCCCAAGGAGAACTCCTTCCACTGAAATAGTCCTTGATCCTGATGTACAGTGATTACCAGTTATGCCTATTTCTCTGCCCTGAAGACCATAGCTCACCCATCTGCCATAATGAAAAGTATTTCAAATGACATTCTTGGACACTGTCTCAAAAGATCATTGCACCATGGAATGGATAGAAATAATTATATCTTGGTATAAATATAATTATGTTCACTTATTTCCACCCTCCAAAAATGTCCAAACTATTCTCAACCCTTTCTTCTCTTTCAGTTCTTACTAGGCAGAAGTTGAAAGGGCAGATATTTTTCCTTAGCTGTATGAAGAAGTTAATGTACAGGATAGTAAGTGACTGTGTATATTGACCACTGTGATTAATGCCAAGAGCTATCAATCCACAATCTCATATGCTCATGAATCAGTTCTTATCATGCCCCCTTTCCACATGCTGTGTGCCAGAAAGTGGACCTTAACCTTCTGCTCAGTTCACTTCACCGTATTTCTATTCTAATCTGGTTGCTCTCCAGGTTGGCAACCTTCCATAGGTCTCCATTGCCCAACTTATTCCATTAACCTTTTGTCCTGATTCTTTAAAAGACTCCAATTAATCCTCCTTTGCCACTCATCTCTGACAGAATATTGGGTGTTGGCTTCAACTTTGACTAGGCAAACTCACCTTTCTGATGTCAATGATTCACCCCTTCTTGGCTTTCGGCAAAGTTTGAGCATGACGCTAAATGTTTTAACACGTATCTTTTGTGTAGTAGTTGCAAATAATTAGTTTGAGAATTTAAACAAACCATCAGACAAAGAGATGGGTTGTTTTCCACAGGAAGAGGTGGTGTCAATGAGGCACTACAAAAGCACTCTGGCGCCAGGCATGGTGGTGGCGCACGCCTTTAATCCCAGCACTCGGGAGGCAGAGGCAGGCGGATCTCTGTGAGTTCAAGGCCAGCCTGGTCTACACAGTGAGTTCCAGGACAGCTGGGGCTATAGGGAGACTGTCTCAAAAAGACCAAAAAACAAAGCACTCTGGCTTAGGTGACTTTCCAGGCACTGAACAGGCACAGTTTCACAATAGCTGTCAGGGGTCATAAGCAAGAGTCTTCCAAAAAATAAACCTGCAATGACTAAATTAAATGTCATTGTGGGGAAAAGGATTTATGAAATGCCACCACCATTCAATGTGCTATTCACACCCCAACCCAGAAGGAGTCTTTAGCACTGAACGGAATCATTAGGGCAAGTCTCACAGTACAATAGAGTACATCACAGATCTACATTCCAATTTGGAATTAGGAAACTGGCATGTTCTAACTTGAACTCACACTAATGTGTTCCATTCCATTTCCCTCTTCCAAATAAACTCCTTTATTTTTAATATTCATAAGAAAATGACTGTGTCTTATTCATCACTGATCAGGAGAGAATTCTTTGCACAGAGTGAGGGCTCAACTTATATATAAGCAAGTTTCAATGATATGTGGTAGACCATACCCATAATCCTAGCACTCAGACACTGAGCAAGGACGGTTGCTAGTTATAGACCTGGCTGGGCTGCATAACAAAGTCTGTTCAGACCAGCTTGCAGCATAGTGAGACTCTATCTCAAAAAATAAAAACAACAACAACAAAAAACCCCAAATGTTTTAAAATCTATAAATAAAGCAGTCATTTTACAGCTGCGGTCTTCTACTTGGTTGGAAGCCCAAAGACCTTACATCCAAATTGTCTTCTTTATGATGAAGGAAATTAAGGCTCAAATAAATTGAGTTGAACTGCCAATGTATAGGTCAGATCAGGATGAACAAACTGGGTCTCCTGCCATATAGTCATCCTTTTTGGTCAGCACATTACACTGTCTCTTCCGTGTTGACTTCTTAACGTGTGAAAAAGTCTAATTATCTCAAAGAAATTAATGCTCTTCAGTGGTATTAGAGTAAAACGGTCAGTTGTCATTATGGAGTGATGGTTACACCACAGGGAAAATCCACTCTTGGAAATGCAGATTTTTTTTTAATCATTTCTCTAAACACACTGAGTAGGCTCAGCTCAGAGATGAATTAAATTCACAGAGTGGGCCAGCCCTCCAAAAATATCCTACACCACCCCTCGAGGCTCTGTGTCAGCAGTCATGATTCCTGACTCAACAGCTCAAGTGTCTTCTGTAGCTTCTCATGACAAGACGATGGTTGGCATATATCCCAAGAAGCCCATGGTGACAAATGTCACCCAGTTGTGGTTGAAATTGGAACTGTAGAAAAAGGAGAATCCTAAAGATATAATGAAGGCTTGCATATTGGTGGAAGCACCAGGCTAGATTCAGTTTATTTGCAAATATTGTGTATGAAAGCCCAGCTTTAAAAATATATGTCATTTTACATCAGTGTGAAAAAGAAAGATTGCTCAACAAATGCTTTAGAACAAATGAGTGTAGCCATCTGGAAACATAAAGTTGAATCTCTACAACTTACCCAATGTGTAGTCCAGATGAAAATTGTGTGTGCGTGTGTGTGTGTGTGTGTGTGTGTGTGTGTGCGTGTTCCCTCCAATTATGAATTTCAACTTTCCCTTTGTATTGTTTTGCCAACTTACTCATTTATATTATTTTATTTTGTATGTGTTTTTCTCTAGCTCATGGCTTCTTAAATTTTTTCCACTTGCAATCATTTTCATCCAAGAAATTTTTTGTGTGACCACCCCAGGCATATAGATATATAAAATAGGTATATAAATCAAACACTTACTAGTAATAAATCATAAAAGTGTGTTCTTAAATGCTTTTTAGTATAGTTTTACCATTAACAAATGTGCACATTAATGAGATTGATGTGCTTGTTTCCTTTTACATAAGGAATTAAATCTTAACTGAATACTTGTATCTATAGCATCTGAAGTGTCTTCAGTGTTTTTCAGTTTATCAATTTATTTTTTCTGGGCTTTATTTTTTAAGATAAAAACTCCTATCACTCAGGCTATCATCAAACTTATTATGCAGTTGAGGCTGGCCTTGACCTTCCGATCCTCCTACCTCCACTTTCCAAGTGCTGGGATTACGGATGTGCACTATCAGTTTGATCAATATTTTGATTTTGTAATTATCAATTCTGAGAATGTCACTTTGTATAAAGAGTAAAAAATGGCAGAAGTATGTTTAAGGCCATTTCAGAAACTGTTGAAATTGGGATTCTGTTCTAATCCCAGGCCAAAATTCATTTAACTCTTTTTTAATGAAACTCAAGTCTGCAGTTGGAACAACTTTTTTTAATGTGTGTGAGTGTTTTACCTATATATATGTAAATGTACCACATGCGTGCTGTCCCCGTAGAGGCCAGAAGAGGACATCAGATCACCTAAAACTAGACTTAGCAAGGCTGTAAGCCACGATGTAGGTGCTCAGAATGAAACTCGGGTCCTCTGGAAGAGCGGTACATGCCCTTAACCACTGAGCCATCTCTCTAGGCCCAGAATTTTTTTTTTTTTGAGACAAGATTTTACTATGTAGCCCTGCCTTGCCTGGTATAGACCAGGTTGGCCTCACACTCACAGAGATCTACCTGCCTCTTTTTCCCAAGTTCTGGGAGTAAAGGAATACATTACCACGCCCAGCCTACAAACAAAAATTTTAAAAATCAAACATTCTAGCACTATACAATACAAAGATACAGTAATTTGATGCTTACATGCTGATGAGGGATGCTAGGAAAATTTGAGACATCTTTGTGTTCCATAATTAAACCAATATGCTTCTGTAAGAGAAGAAGGCTTTTTATGCACAGTACACTACCACACATCATAATACATAAGTCTCTAATTTGAGATTTACTACTTCCAGCAGCATCTTTTGGGGTTGTGTGGTGTGACATCATGCTCAATGCATGTCTTCATGCTGCTTGGAACGAAGGCTATTGGAAGGTCTTGACATGAAATGTAGGGGAGCACAGCCAGAAATGCCTTGGATTCGTTATGCATTTGATTCTGGCCTAATTTTTGATTTTTACATCATCAGGAACCTTTTGCTAATTTTTTTTGGTGAACTTCCACATTCAGTTATGCATCCCTGTATTAGCTACTTTTCTGTGGCTGTGATAGAGCATCATTATCAAGGCAACTTATAGAAGGAGGCGTTTATTTGGCTTTATGGTTCCAGAGGGCTAGGAGTCCATCATGGTGGGGGAGGCATGGCAGGGACAGTGGGAGCAGAAAGCTGAGCGCTCACATCTTCCAGCAGGCACAGGAAGCAGAGAGAGTGAAACTGGAAATAGGTCAAGGCTATGAGCTCTCAAAGTCTGTCTTCAGTGACATGCTTCCTCCAGCAGTGCCACAGCTCCTAAAGTTTCCTTGATTCCCCCCACCAAACAGTGCCATTAACTGCCCAAGTGTTCAAATACTTGAAGTCTATATGGCACATTCTTATTCAAACCACAAGCCCC